TGAGGATCACCAAGCTGTTCTGTCTGTTGGTGTAATACTGGAAGATTTCATCGCCTGGGCTAAGGTAACTGAGTGCTAGCTCATTGTCTGTTCCCTCCGTAGGTCAACATCTGCTTCGAACTTCGCACAACTCTCGAGAACTTCTGCTGTCGGATACCTGTTCAAGTGCTCAGACGGCTTCCGTCGCAAAGATGCTCCTGGTGAGTCCTCCTAGGGCATGATGGCTCGGCTCAAGCACACCAGACGATATACAGGTGTCCTCCTTCCCCGGCCAGTTCTCCGCTAAGGCCTCGATGTAACACTTGTGCACCGCGTCGTCTGTGAACAGCCCCACCTTCTCGCCCTTGCGCAGGATCTGCAAGTACCACTCGTTGCGCTTCCACGACCTCATCCACGGGAGGTTTCTCGGCAGAAATGGGATGGGCGTATCGTTGACGATGGCCTTCAGAAGGCACAACTGCTCGGAGTCAAGGGAGCCCAGGAGAATAAGCTTCGAGTCGATCTCAGTAAGTCGCTCCAGGCCTACGCCCAGGCTTTCCTGGTGGGTCGATCTGCCTTTGGCGTCCCAGCTGATGCATACGCGCCCCTCCACTCCGTTCCCTTCACGCCACCTGAGGTACCAGATGGTCTCTCGATGGTCCTTCAGGGACTTCCCGACAATCATCGACATTTCCTCCTTGAGGCGGGTTGCTGCAGGATGAGACGTAATGAGGGCGGGCATGTAGTGAGTCTTGATAGCTTGTCAAGGTTTGAGATGCGGGGGAAACAAGCGAACAGGATTGTGGTCGCCACACTCGATGGGCTTTTATACGTCGAACAAAGAGTCCTTTGTTGATTTATCGAGTTGTGGCCTTTCCTTCAGGTCAGCCTGCTGCACCGCGCTACTGTGTTGCGGTCGATAAATTTTCTTTACAAAGATAGAGCATAAAAGTGATAAAGATGGGAAAGAAAAACAATGCAGTGGCAGGGTGAATGCAGCTACCAGGCCAATATCAGGCTCTTATTGAAGACGAGCTCTCATGCGAACACCAGCCAGGATGTGAAGAGGAAGACGGAAGGATGCTAACCCTGTACTCTTGTCAGCACCGACTCCTCACATGCGCGCCACCACCGTTTCATAGGCCGACTGGACATTCGACCGGGTCGACCGGATTTTCGACAGAGCCTCCAACGCGCACATGTGCACTGGGGCGGCCCAAGCAGTGCACGCTTCTCTGGGCGTGCGGCGACCACAAGATATTGTTTCAAACTCCAGACTGAGCAAAGTCCAGTACTCCTCCCGTGCACGCCCGTCATTCTTACACGCCAAAGCATTACGAATGGCACATACTGCACCCTCGACATTGGTTCCGGAAGCCACGGCCAATGTGAGTACTCCTGTGCGCGTGCACTGCTATTACGTCCGACTGATATCTCTGTCACCCTGAGGTCTCATACAAGTCGCGCATATTCCATTACTAGTGTGTCTTTCATGCGCAGCAGTATACTGGCATGGACTACAGCCCGCCGGACGGCAGTGGCTTGTTCTCGTAGTACAACAAGCTCGCTCCATGATATGGCCGCTTGGTTTATAGCTCGAGCCCTTCCTCAACCACGAGCCTGCCCACCTTGATCCTGTTCGTGTGTCTGGGGTGATTCATATTCCGGCTCGCGGCGAAGCCCGGTTTGGAGCCTCAACCTCAGTTGATTCATCACAGCCTCGCTAAACACAAACATGCGTCGCGCATCGGGAAACTAAAACATCGTAATTTGTAAGTACAAGACAGCTTCCTGAGGAACAACCTTCATTCCGACTGAGCGTCTTCAAAGGCGCGTATTCACAGAATTTTCTCCGTATCAAGAGCCTGGACGGCCGCTTGCAACTCGACCCCCGTGAAGAGCTTCTGCGCGATGCCCTTCTCCAGGATCTGTATGCACCATTCTTTGCGGAGCGCCGTGCGCAAGCCCTCCGTCGCGCGCGGCACAGGTGTGTCCTGCATGATCGTCTCGAGCTGCAGCCGCTGGTTGAAGTTGAGCGAACCGAGAGTCAGTACGACGCGCGAGTGCGCCGGGAGGTCCTTGTGGAGCACCGTTGCCGCCAGGAGGCACCCCTTGCCCTTGTTGTCCCAGGTCGCGTACACAAGTCGCTGGCCGCGGCCCTGTTCGCCGGTCTGCCAGGTAAAGTGATGTAGATGGGCCTTCGGTGCGTCGTCGCTGTCGCCAACAGAGAGCCAGATTGTGTTATTTCCGCGGTCTCTGTCGTAGTTCTCGAAGAGCCGTGTGTAGCACAAAGGTACGTTGGTGTCGCAGTCACCCAAAACAAGGCCTGACGAGTTGTGAACTGCGGTAGGGGCGGCCCGGATGACAGAGATAGTGAAGACGAGCATGATGGGTTTGTGGTAGCGATATGCGAGGATGGGATGAAGCTGGCGGTGCTAATGTTGCGTACTTATGCAAGGCCGATAGCATGGTGGCTTTTGCACCTAGCCGCGGCGGCCACATGCAGCCCATAGTCTGGTGGCCCACCGACAGCGAAAACATATTGGCCGACAAACACTCGCACCGACTGGGGCATGTGGATCAAAAAACTTCAGAAAATTTTCATCGTTGTTATTTCGCGCAAGGAATCAACATTGTACTGCTACAACTCTTGGCGTGGTCGAACGGGTAGGGTGAACAATGCCCGACTCGGAACGGCAAGGCGGCCCGGCGTCTTGTCACTTCTGTCCGCACTTGCAGCTACCGGCCTCGCACTTGCACCTGAAGCGGTGAGAAACGGGTTTTAGGTGACAGATTATGTCGACCACAGAAGGACGTACGAGTCGCCGCAGTTGCAGCTATTGTTTCCGCAGTGCGTGTTGACGGGGTTCTCGATGGTCTAGGGTGCATGTGTGCAGTGAGCCTCCTCGGTTTCGGCCTACGAGAGGCCGAAGTACGTACGGCGAACATATCTGACAATCGTGTGCGAGGTCGTGGTAAAGTCTGAGGTCTGAGGTGAGATATGATCGTCGCTGCCCTTTATATACAAAACAAAGGCACATGTGTGCCTGTTCTGACAATTACCTGAAACAGTCTGAAACATCTCCTCCACGATCCTATGACGAAGCATGATCTAGAAGCTCCCCACTTCCCGATTGTCCCAAACAAGCAGCTGTAGTATACGTATGTCAGCCTCGCCGCGCGGAACACCAAAGTTCTAGAAACGCAATTTGCCTGACACTAAAGTGCGGAAATTCCAGAATCATGGTCTCATTTCATTTAAATGTACAACAATTAACAGCGACCCTTGAATCAGATGAACCCTCCAATACTGCATGATCTCCCGAGGGTAATCACAGCTGGAACATCGTGTGGCGCTTAAGCGCACTTGCACTCGTTGGGCTTGCAGGCGCAGCTATGAGTCGCATGTGAATACTCCAGCACTACAAGGTATGCGAAGGAACAACGTACCTGTTGGCACAGGCGCAGCTAGTGTTGGAACTGCAGGTAGCAGAGCCGCAGTTGGCGTAGTTGACGGGGACGGCGACGACCTGAGCGATACAATAATGAGTCCTAGACCATAGGCTCTGAAGTCGACTGGGCTTACAGAAGACATTGTTGCTTGGAAGTTGTGGGAGATGTAGAGAGCTCTTGTGGGTTGCTTTAATCCGCCCTCCGTGGGCCGTATTTATGTGCTCGTAGTGTGCGTCTATCTCCCCCGTTCTCACGATATGCATGTAAAGCTGCGCCCCATAAACAGCATAGGTTTGCGAGGCATTAGTGCTGCAGCCACTCGGCAGGCCCTGACACATTCCGACGCCACGTTCTTTGCTTCGGGAAGCGACCCTGAAGCATGGGGCTGAATACGGGCCAGCATCAGCACATGCTAAGGGCCTGACGCCGCACTAACCGAATGCCACCTTTTTTAGGGTGCCGTGGAGAGGGAAGCGCACCCTGCCACTTTGTCTATCAGACGCGCATCTAGGCCCCTTTCGCAGTAGCATAAATTTTCTCTCTTCAGTCTCGTGTACAGCTCTTTCAGGTCCCCGCTGCGTCAGCCTTGTTCCAAGAACTCTTTTGGTCGTTCTTTTTCCCAGGTATGTTGTTCAGCTGATTAGAAGCATGTAAAATTGCGATGTTGAGGACACATCTGACGGGCGTTCTCTCAGGTACAGTCATGATGGCCAAAAGATGATACACAACCATTCTATATACTTAGTAGGAAATTATACAAATGATATCTATCTCGTAAGTCCTGTGAAGCGGCCCTAAGCCTCCCCGATAAATCTCTATCATGCCCCATAAGTAACTCCCGGGCGCGGCGCGTATGCACTGCCACCGGTGTACGGCTTCGCGACAGAGACGCTCGATGCAGAGGGTCCGTGGCTCGGATTTGGTGCATAGGCACTGGAGTTCAGCTGTGTCGCGTCCTCCAAGCTTTCGCCCTTGCCTCCGACAAAGTAGTCGTTCTGCAGAGGGGTAGCAAGCCCGACGGTCACATAGATAACGATCACGATGAACTCCATGATGGGCGACATGATGAGCCAGATGCCGAAGTCGCCGCGTGTGCTGTTAAACTTTGCGAGGCTTGGCGACCCACTGGTGACCCCTGGGATACCAAGAGGGGAATAGGCCGAAAGAATAGTGTACAGGACACGTACACCAAGGAAGGGAAGCGAGAGTGTGATCGCCTTCAGCAGCTGTTGGTCCAGACGGTCAGCGATTCCGTTTGATAAGCGACGACCTGAAAATGCCTCACTGTGCGTCTGTGCTTCATGATCTGGCTAATCTTGCTCCAAATGAAGAAGGTGACCAGAACGGTAAGGACGAATTGTACGACGAAGAGAATGACACCGATGTGCCTGAGGTTGTTGCCACTGTTAATTTTCGAGACGTCATCGCTGGATGTGTTCGATCCGATGTTCACGCCTCCGACGATGGTGAGGAGAAGGGCGACGGAGGAAAGCAGCCCCATGAGCCGTAATCCTTTGTGAAGAAGATGTCCGTCCTCAAACGCATTTTGCTTCCTGAAAACACGTGTCAGTTCGCTCCCCAGCCGATTAACTCCTCGATGCACGTACACTGTCGTCAAGAAGCCGACGGTAGCGATAAGCAACGGTGAGACTCCAGACGTCTCCAGGATAGTGACTACAGTTTCAAGGGTTGTGCTTGGATTCGCCTGTTCTTGAGCGATGATGTGTGTTATGCCGCCGGCGATTCGAACTAATGTGCGGCTTAAATAAATCACTATCGGTCTAAGGATATTCCGACGTACTGATTGATAGAATCAAGAGATAGAGCCATCCTTCGCGCTTGAAGCCATACTTGACGAGCAGGCACACGCTCAGAGCTGCCAACGGGATGTACACAACGATCTCGATGGCGGAGACGATGCTTCGGGAGTCGAGATGCGTCATGGAAGTGCGCGGTACGAAGCTTGAAAGAGAGGAGAATATGAGGGATATGTTAGCGAAAGCTACTGAGTGCTGGATGGGAGATGGCAGCGGGCGAGACGACTTTATAGTACTGACCATGCAGCCGAGATTCTGCAACCAAGGACTGGCAATGCCACTCATTGCACTGCATCAGTAGCTTCCCGCTTTACGCGTCATGGAAGCACAGAGATCCACGGGCCCAATACATTTGCGACTCGGCCGCCGTGCGCGCCACGGGTAAGCGGAAACCCTACAGGGCGTGGCATAAGAAACCGCAGTCAAGGGTTTTTCGTTCACTGCCTGTACATGTCCTGGTTAGGTGTTATATTGTCACGTAATGTCACGATGTGCCTGAGGGGCACTTTACCTCACATCACGCCCTCTGTCTCCGCTGTTTGCAGAGATCAATGTCGCCAGCAGCAAGACGTTGCTGAAGCTCGTCAAAGTAGAGTGGAGGGCTGGCTTAGAGGAGTAAGATTACGAGCTGCACGTCGTCCGTGTTGAGTGTGCGTGGATGGCGTCGAGGCTAAACTAACATTGATTGGTTGACGGAATTGTTGAAACTGGGTAAGGATGTCGTGGGCAGTGCACTCCGAGCAGTCAACAGAGCTCGCTATCTCTGATATCCTCAGGCCATTGTTGGTTCGCCAGTGTACTATGCGTCGGCGAAGCCAGCGACAGATGACTCGGTGACGAGGCACTGTGCGTGCGGCGCGGCGTCGAAGCACCTGTGACTGTGTGTGACGGTCTCATATCTATATTGGGTACAAGTACAAACTTTAAGCTTTAACACTTGAGAATTATGTGATTCGCAATCGTAGAGTCGCCGTACGCGCCACCCGGTAGCGAAAACTTTACTTCGCAATGTCTCCCAACAGACTCTTTTGCTGCTCGTAGAGTCGCAATACACACGGAGTGGAGACAGGCTCTGGGCACTTACCGTGGCCGCCCTGCGGAGGGACTCCTCCCAGCGAGCGAAAGTTTCTGCAGCTGATTATCCGTGCGACACAGTCAACATGGCTGTGGTGGATGAAGCTTGAAGCTTGAAGGTCCGACACCGGAAGCGAAAGTCCTCACGTGTTGAGCTCACCATACAGGATGCGTTTCAAGTTGCCCTGATGTTCATGGGGCGGCGAGTTGTGGCACAAATCAGTTACATCAAGGGTCAGCTTAATGTCAGTTGGTAAACGATGGATGTGGAACTTGGGATCTCCGCAAAGTGTGTTCGTGCGCAAAGAGTATCCTCGGTGCCGCCCTACAGCACAGCATCCGACTGGGACTGCCAGTGCAGATATCGCAGATATTTCACAAGCGGCGAAGTCAAATGAAAAGGGCTGCATCGAGCATTGCCTATATATGCTAAGGGCGATGGAGGCAGTGGGCGCTTCAAAGATCCCGACAGTGCCGGGGCCCGGGACTGGCGGTAACCTCACCCGATTAAGTTTTCCGGAGCCCAAGTTGGCTAACGTCGCAGAACAGTAAACTTTCAGCAGTGCGTTTGGTAGGGACAAGGACGCTTTCACCGGTAGAAGGCTAATAGGTGTACTGTTTTAGTGTAACATATCCCGGTCGCAATGAGATTGCCTCGCAGAGTGCCTTGGTCTTCTCTTGCTGAACTCGATGAAGTATGCTCTTGGATCTATACCGACGAGACTGACCTCGACACCAAGATTCTTGCTGTGCAAAGAGTGAGTTAGGCATGCTGATGGCTACTTGCGGAGAACACTCATGTGATGTCAGCTATCTGCATGGAAGGCGATCACCACTCTCCCGCACGCTCTCGATTCTACGCTTTCGCTGCTCACAGTGATCGTACAAGACTCGTCGCGCGAGGGTCTTTCATCGCACATGCTGATCAGACAGGCATATGCTGTGGCACTAATCCGTCTGGTCAATGGCTTGGTAGATCCTTTGCAACTTGGGGCATACGCTCGTTCTATCGCGAGTATTGCTGCTCAGCTTGGTCTTCCGCAGTGGCTAGTGGAGTTACGACATGCTGCTACCCACGAAGACCTCCCAAGTCTTGATGTTCTTCGTGAGGCTGCACGCGAGGTTAGTCAAAGCCCGTAAATCATCTTGGCGTGGCACGCTGACCAGCTTTTTTCAGGCAATGGCCTGGCTACTGCAAAATTACTTCAACCCAGCTCTCAGCCCTTCTGCACCACCAAGAAAGCAGACACCGCCTTTGCGACCCCTACAACCTTTACTTGCGCAGTACAAAATGCTCCTCAAATCCACGACGCGCGACGCCTCGCTCCGCTCTCAGTACAAGGCGGAGATCACCCAGATCCTGCGGGACATTGAGCGATGGGTCGCTGAAGCGAAAGTCGCAGCCGATGTCTCCGCTGCCACCTTGGAGTGGGACGACATCGAGGTCGAGGACGGCGAACAACAAGACAGCAGAGAACGATGGGCATTGGAGAAGCTTTGTGACACTCTCTTAGAGAAAGGTGGCCTGGTACCCTTGTCGAAAAAGTGGGCAAAAAATCACACTCGTCGGAAAACCGTGGTATTAACGACAATATTAGGAAAAGAGTGGGATCGACGAACCCGTTCCAACCCTCCAACAGCGTTCTCGCGATATGGACACCCCTTCTCTCTCATCTGCAGGCCCTCCACCCGGACTTGCAGTCGGTACTGATCTCAAGAATCATCACGAGCCTATTGTCCGACTCCGACGCCACGGTCAGCAGTGCTGAGATGGACACAATCCCGCTGGCCGCAAACGAGCGGAAGCGCGATGCGTCTTATCATATGTGTGTCGCTAGCTGGGCGCACTGGCTCGTGACATCTTTCAGGGCAAGTACTGCTGATGCTGAGGACGAGACTCTAGCCGAGGAAGCTGCAGCTGGCCTTATCACAGGCCTGGGGCCTAGCGGAGGCACCAGCGACACCAAAGCGTATGCTACCTCCGTCGCATTTTCCATTAGTCTTCTGACCCTACTATCGTAGCGCGCGCTACCTCCTTGACACACTCTGCAAAAAATATCCAGCGCTTCAGGCCACCGCTTCTGTGCTACTTCCAGCACCCGCGCCCGGAAGCACTCCGGTAAGTTTACGCACCGAGATTCACCGCGCACATCGCTGATTCGCGTCGTGTCTCAGCGATGGTCGGAGCAGGATCTCGAGACTATGGCTGGACGGCTTGACGCCCTCATTGCACCCGGCCTCGACACTACGTCCGCACCAGCGCCTTCGTCGGCGGCCGAGCACAGTCTTGGGGCCGGAGAGGGCCCTGCCCTGCCACCGGGTTGGCGCGTGCTCACCGTGCGAGACGGCTGGAAGCCGGCACCCATCGGCGTGCATGTTGGTTGAAGGTCGATGTAGGCAAATAATAGAGAAGGCCAGAAGTGTGCAGGCTACATTCAACTCCGCACTGTCCATCCTATATGGGCAGCTACTATTACAGATTCTCTCGATGCAAGCAGCGTAAGGGACGTGAAGGCAGAAAAGATAGTAATATCCATAACAAATTAGTCTGGATAATAAAGACATCCACGAGAGCATCTCGACGGAGGCAAGAGGGAGACGAAAATGTGCAGCAGGGGTAGGGCGGACCGAGGATAGACCAGGATGAACCAACGGCCCAGGAAGAAAAGGAGGATGTTATGAGAAGGGAAGGGACACGCATAGAAAGAAAAGCAGTCCAATGTTCCGAAGCTGAAATGACTAACTAACAACTCTTCGCTGTGCTTTCGCAGGCATCGCACCTGGTTGCCGTCGGTCAGGCTGCAGTGGTGGCACAGTTCCCGTGCGCATCGCTGTTGATGCTGCTTCATTACTGCTACTGCCACCCGCGGTGCCGCTATTGGACTCGTTATATCGAGGGGGCAGCTCGACGATCTCCGTGCCGTCTGCCGCATAAACGGTAACGGGGGCCCGGCCCCCGTCGTGATGAACGACGAAGACCTGCGACTGCGAGCGATTCTCGGAGGAGAGAGGACGATGAGGTGGGATGAGGGGTACATGCGCTGGTGGGATGTTCGATATGGGGGACATCATGACAGAGCCTGTGGGTGAGCGCGGGCGGTCTGCTGAGCCAGTCGTGACTGCTGACGTGTTGCGTGTGTGTCTGCTGTCGAAGAGAGTATTGGACGGGCTGGACGCGTGGGAGGGGCCGAATCCGAGCTCGCGTTCGGAGGGCATAACGAAGGGTTCTATGTGATAAGACGTATCCGCCGGTGGGGTCGGTAGATCGGTGTAGGGTTCTGATTGGTGCGAGAGAACCGGTGTGGTGATCGATATGCTTGATGTCTTTCGATGTAGCGTATCCGGACGGCTACGATCCATCTGGTTCCGCTTTCGTCTCGATGTAAACCACACAGCTCCTAGCAGGCCGGCAACAAGTCCAACGATAAGTCCACCTGCCCCCGATACAGCAGCTACCCAAGGCTGCACCTCCTTGGAAGATGCGGCTCTAGTCAAAAATGTCAGGCAAAGCTCATGAAATGGTGAAGCATACTCACATCTGGTTCAGCTCAGCTAAGCATGTCGTATCCGTGCCTTCTCCGCTATGCAGCGGACCGAAGGCCCAGGTCATTCCAGTAGAGTCAGCAAGCGAGATAAAGAATGGCATACCCCAGGACTGTCCTTGGCATCAGACACGGCGACCTGTCACCGCGAAATGACATGCTACTCACCAGGGACACGGTCCAATTTATGGGATCCATTGAATTGGACGTGATGTTATAAGGAGGGTGGAGTGCAGGGGCAACCTGTGGCAAAATCAGCAGCTTTTCGACACCTTAGAAAACTGGGCCTACAGTCATGGTAAAAGGTGGCGTCCCATTGTTGGGCTTTACGGAGATATCTGTACACTGGCGCAACTCAACCACAGCCCGGCGTTTCAACATACAAGCGCAGGCTCACCTGGGGAATCCAAGCGAACTGCCCAAGTGGACCGTTGTCCACAAGAGCAGTTACACCGAGTACTTGGTCTTGTTGCGGATACGTCAGGTTCGTGCAAACCGGCGGGTTGTTGAGAGTCGTATTAGGCGCCGGGTAGACGGTATACACCGCCTGGCAACCTCCGGTCACGCCGTTCGAATCGAACTGTGAGGAGATTAGGGATGCAGCCATCATTATTAGTATTAATGTTGACGAGATGCTTACCATGCATATCTGGTACTGTGTTCCTGGTATAAAGGGGACTGGCCAATCCTGGGGATAAGGTGAGCATGGCGTTCACGTTCACACTGCCCGGTCTTTGAAACTCACAAAATTCAAATCTGCATTGCTGGTGCCTGCTGGAACAACCAGAGGTACGATGAAGGTTCTGGGGAAACATGGATGTTGGGCACGCTCCGAGACGCTGACCAAGGTGAAACATACGAGGTATAAATCTGTAGGTAGTACGGCGCCACCGGGTTCGGCCTTGAAACAGTATGAACACGGAGATTGCGCTTTAAAAGTGTCCATCACGTACCCTACAGCGTTGCCCCTCCCATACTCGATATGAATGGTTTCGCACTGTGCTGAATAGCCCCTTCAATCCAGACGCGCAGCGCAGGCCTGTATCTTCAGCTTACCTGTTGTTGGGATCGGCGGCGACTGATTTTGCGGAGTCCAATCGAAGAAGAAGCCCTAACGTTGAAGTCGATGCCTTGAGGGCAAGTACGAACGGGTTGACTGCGGGCTGCTCACCTGGTTCAGATAGGGCGTGTCCTTCCCCATCACAGCTGGCACCAAACTATTCATCCATAGTAGCCCCACAGTCCCAAGGGTTGTCCATGCCCCGACCCCGACATCTGTACGCAGTGTAGGCAACATCACGTTGCACTGCTACCGCAGATCCCAGCACAGACAATATTTGTAGCCGTTCGCGTCGGGAAGGTGATCAAGGGACAAGCGAGATGAGGAACCCGGCACCGAACGCGATACTCTGCGAGGGTCCCTGCTAGTGGACGGACGTCAGGCAGGGCGTCGGGCGGAAGATGGAAGGGGAGAAAAGGAGCGTAGTACGAGCCTAGGCGGGCGTGGACTTGCTCTCAGCGGGCTAAGGAAAATGATACTTTGGCGCCGCGCGCGCATTCGCTCCGTATCTACATATCATCTCGCTTGCACAACTCTTCTGCACCGCCATTGCTGAGCACCGTCACGACAGAATCATGTCCCGTCCGACAGACTCTGTCATTGTAAACGACCTGTTCGTTGTCACCCACCACAGCCAGCGCGACGACTGCGAGAGTCGTTCACAGCGCGTGCAGTAGCTCTCGATGGTTCTTTCGTCCGACAACCATCGGGGCAACCATAATAGCTTCATGGGATGATGTTTACAGACGTTTGGACAATTTACCGACATTTATCTCAAAGGGACTGCGATGTGACTGGCCCTTGCTGGACCAGCAGACGAAACAACAAATCCAGAGACCTCTAAATAGCAATATGCCGCTACTGAGGACCACCGCCTCTGAATCCTCCGTGTGATCTGCCTCTGCCCCGCCCGCGGAAAGGTCTATGTGGACCCGTGTCTGGATACTGATTTCGGTTCTGATTGTCTCCATTTGGCTGCGCCGCGGCTGGCACAGCGGTAGGTGACCTACTGCGCTGTCCGGCGTTATGCTGCTGGTGGGAACGCGGACGGTATCCCCCCTGCGGGAGACCGCGCCCACGTTGACTCTGCTGCTCGTGTGCCTGGTAATGACGGCCGCGAGGGCTTGCCTGGCCCTCAGCTGACCGCATCTGCGGGTACCTAGCCCTCCTAGGAGCAGAGTTCGACGTCGACCCTTCGGCCGCATTCCCGCTGCCACCGGCAGATGCCGCGCCATTCTCACCCTGCGATGCCTGCTTGCCCTTGGGATCTTTCTTTTCCTTCGGTGGCTTGGGCTCAGGAGGCGGACCAGCATCGTAGAAAGGGTTATATGGTCGCCATAACGTGTGTGGGTCGTCAATCGATGGCACATACGTGAGACCTTTGTAGAGGTCAAACGAGTAGAACGACGGGAGGGGTAGGGGATTCATGGTTAGTGTCATGGGGAACAGCCGCTTGAATATCGTGAGCCCGGAGTGGCAGTCGTTCGCGGCATCTGCGTTCGTAAGATTGTCAGAGGTAATGATATAGCCTCGACCAGTTGTGTACTCACACTGCACCTGAGCTTCGCTTAATACAGCCTCCCAATTGCTTCGCGTAATCTTGCCCTTCGTTAGACTGAGCTCTTCGTACGTCTCGCACAGTCGAGCAAGGCCGATAGGCTGGCTATATTTTCCCTTCCATCGAGCATTGTCGACGGTGCGAGCGAGAAGTGCTAAGTCTACACAATTGCGTGTGTTGACTTGGTAGTCGTTCCAGAGCTTCTTACAGTCACCTGAGTCGGATTATATATATGAGTGCAGAGTCGGAGCAAACTGCGCGCACCTTGTATACCAACGCCACACTTGATATACGCAGGGTCCCAGAGTACTTGCAGCAAACTCGGGGGGAATACTGTTTGGGAGGCTGTACAGTATGCTGAGCCGCTCAACAGAATAGAACAGTGCACGCACGTCGGATGGCCGTGATGTGTATTAGAAGCACAGTCTCCTCGTTTGCTAACTGCACCAATGCGACAGGATTTTCTTTCTGGCCCTTGCGATAGCACGGCTTCCACTCTAGGTCAAATCCACACGGCCCCGGTTTGAATCGAGCCATCTCCTGATCTACCGTATGCGAGTCGCGAATGTATACAAGACGTGTCTGCGGAGCTTTGACTTCCCATGAGTATAGATCGTACACTCGAGGTGGCGGCGGAGGCTTTTCCGGTAGTTGTGTAGCGGAGGCTGCTGCTGGAGGCGGCGGTGATACCAAGCTAGTGGCCGGCTCGGTCTCTGTGTGGGTCCCGGCGGACATGCTGGGTATCATCTCAGCTTCCAGGGACATCCTATGTGTCAGGTCGCCAAAGAGTGAAGCTAGAACTGCGAGTGCTGTCCGAGTGCAGGATGGTAGTCGGGACATCGAGAAGAGCCTGCCAAAAGCAGGTGGCCGACGCGCCTTCGGCGATTGCCGCCATCGACTGAAGCGCCATCACGTGGCAGACGCGAGCCTTTATGGGCGCTTCCTGCTCCTGTCGCGTGTGTCTTGCTTCGCCTATCTTCCCGTTCAGGTAGCGTCCATCCGACAGCAAAACGCGGGCAGGTACCGACGTCCGCTCCTTGTCTTTGCACCATGACTCAGACCCTCACTGCAGGTTGCATGCCCAAGGCTGGCCGCAAAAAGTACTACGCGGTACGCCGTGGACGAGAAGGCCCAAAAGTATACGAAACATGGGAGGAGGTGAGTGTTAACTTATTGACGTGAATGCGATTTGTTGAAATATTTCTTAGTGTAAACTCAATGTATCTCGTTTCCCTGCCCCGGCGTACAAAAGTTTTGGTGCTCGGGCAAAGGCAGAAGCATGGATCAAGGTAATCAATGCCTCGGACCGTGAGTGCTGATATTCCTATTGTTAGAAACACTGCACGATGTAACATTACAACAGCTATAGTCAATAGCAAGCCTCGACAGCCCACCTCGGGTTCCAAGTCTCATGCGAAGCCCCAACAGCCTCAATCCAATGCGCCTGCTCCGGTAGCTCCTGTTCAATATCCGCCAATACCTCAGACCGGCGATATTCGAGAAACAGAGTCAGATGTTCCTATAGAGCCGACAATCAAACTCTCGCTAGAACAGCAACAAGTTCTCAACAAAGTCAAGGCCGGCGAGAGTGTCTTCTTTACAGGTTCCGCAGGTACGGGTAAGTCAGTCTTGCTGCGCGAAATCATCAAGTCCTGTCGCGAAAGTGGCCGTCAAGTAGCTATCACTGCGTCTACGGGTATTGCTGCAGTCAACATCGGTGGCTCGACCGTGCATTCATGGGCAGGCATCGGACTTGGCAAGGAGCTCAAGGAGCAGCTTGCCATGAAGATTCTGGGACAGGACAAATGGAAGCGCATCAAGGACAAGGAGAGACACTGGGAGCAGGGGCTTCCTTCAGGGAACGAATATGACAGCGACGATGCGAGTCAGCCTAGAGTCGTTCAGCGATGGC